CCACCACCACCACCACCACCAAAAAAAAAAAAAGCCAGAAGTGAAACTATGGTTCAAGTAGTGAGTTCAGCTTGAGTGACAAAGCTAAGGACAGTGCTAAGGCTCCTAATTCAAGCCCCAGTACCAGCATATACACACATGCACACACACACACACTAACAGTTCAACACCATAGTGCAGTATACTTCCTTCAAGAGGTACTTGTCATTCCTAAGTAAAGAAAACATCAACCAAGCCTCCCAGTGGCTATTTTAGCCAGTAGCTTCAAGACTTTTTCCAACCGTTTTGTTCAACAGTTTTTCTCAATGGCTATTTTATGAAGGATTTCTCTGGGGACATATGGAGTCACTGGAGAACAAGAAAAGACTTTCCGAGCTCTTATGCCAGTATAACTAATAACTAGTGAGTAGAACAATAAGCCAAAAAAAAAAATCTGAGTTTTACCATCAAAACTGTGGATTATCATTTCAAAGTAACTGGGATAATGAAGCAACTTTCATAAAGGGAGAATATGAGAGGCCGATCACCTAGTGAATTCAGAGCTGGATGCTATTTGTTGAATGAATAAGTGAGACTATGCAGAGACCTACAACAGGAGGGGAGGAGGAATATGAAAGGAGTCAGATAAACGAAACATTGGGACTCTTTAGAAGTTCCAAACAGCCAGGCGCTGGTGGCTCAAGCCTGTAATCCTAGCTACTCAGGAGGCTGAGATCTGAGGATCGTAGTTAGAAGTCAGCCTGGCCAGGCAAGTCTGTGAGATTCTAACTCCCAACACACTAATGAAAAATCCAGAAGGGAGCTGTGGCTCCAATGGTAGAACGCTAGCCTTGAGCAAAAAGCAGCTCAGGAACAGCACCTAGAGTTGAAGTCCCAGGACCAGCACACACACAAAATTCAAACAGAAATCGCCCCATGTCCATAAAACCTTCAGTTCCTTACCATGTGTGGGAAGGGTCTTGGCTTTGCCATCAGGCACTCTGTTCAAATGCGTGTCGGCCCGAGGTGGTTTTGCCTCCCCTTTGGTGGCATTCAGAACTGTCTGGGATTCTGTCACGTGGAAGTCTACCAAGCCAAAGTGAGGTGGGGTCAGTCTGTTCCCAGATGGATTTGAAAACAGCATCAACCACAAAGCAAATCAATTCTTTTCCTTCTTTTTTTTGGAGGGGTGGTGGTGGTGGTGGTTTTGAACTCAGGCATTTGCATACAACTCAGCTTACTTGCTTGGCTGGAGCTCTACTACTTAAGCCACACCTCCAATTGAGCTTCTGTGGCTGTGGTGTGTGTGTGTGTTGCTACTGGGGCTGGGGCTTGAACTAAGGGCCTGGGTACTGTGCCTTAGCTGTTTTGCTTAAGGATGGTGCTGTACCACTTGAGTCACAGATCCATTTCCAGCTTTTTGCTGGTTAATTGAAGATAAGAATGTCATGGACTTTCTGCCTGACTGGCTTTGAACCTTGATCCTCAGATCTTAGCCTCCTGAGTAGCTAGAAATACAGGCATGGGTGAGTGACTGACACCTGGCCTCACTGAGCTTTTCGGTGGTTGGGTTGGCTTTGAATCTCAGTCCTCCAACATCTCCTTCTCCGTGGTAGCTAGGATTAGTGGTGTCAGCCACTAGCATCTGGATAAAACAAATAAATTCTGAATCTGTACAACAAGAATATACATGGATTGGTACAAGTGGGGTGAGGTGGGTGGATTAAAACCCAATGCTCAAGAAAATAAGTAATAAAGTGATCCTGGAGCAGTTTGCTTCTTCAAAAGGCTGAAGCCACAACAGTGGATACTATTACTGCAGTGAGAGGTAAGAAAACAGTACACACTGTCATCCTAATAGAATGTCTTTGTGTGGTGAGTGTGTGTGTGTGTGTGCGCGCGCGCGCACGCGAATGCACGTAGTTCTGGGGTTTGAATTCAGGGCCTTATGCTCTTGCTTGGCTTTTTTTTTTTTTTGCTCAAGGCTGGCACTTTACCACTGCAGCTACACTGACAATTAAGGAGACAGGATCTTGTGAATGCCCCAGGCTGTTTCGGAACTTGCTTCATAGCCCAGGCTGGCCTCAAGTTTTTGATCCTCCTGCTTTTGCCTCCTGAGCACAACACCATATCTGGCTCATTCTGACAACTAACGAGACATTTCTTAAATACACATAAAAAGGAAATGAGTTTTTACTCTAGAGAGACATTTCCTTTTCTTTGAACTTTCAAATACCCCCTTTCCAGACCCCCTCTACATCTGTTAAATAGGAAGAGTGCGGAGTGGGCTGTGCGTGTTTTGCGGGGAGTTAAGTTCGAGACAAGATACCAAGATTTTCCAGACCTCGGGAGTTCTCTGATTCCGGAGTCTGAGAACCCGAACTGCTGTACCCTTCCATGCCCTGCCTTCTTTGTTCAACCACTCCATCGAGGTCTGAGAATTCATCATTGAAGTCCTGCAGGGACACAGTGACAGTAGAATGTTCTTTAGTGAAGGGCAGGCCTTCGTAAGCCCTGGCTCACTCTCACTTGACCCACAGAATATGGGGAAAAAAGGGACTGCCCTCTACTACTGGGATTTTCCTAACTGATCAGTTTCTGGTTACTGAAACTGAGATTCTTCTGGCTGGTTAGAATCCTGCCAAGAGACAGTAGCCAACTTGTTTGCAATAACAAATAGCTAGAAAAAAAACAACAACGCTAGAATGTTAATGGTGTAAAAGCATCCAAGCTTGAAACTAGAGAAGCTTCATTAATGCTTTGTAATAAGGAAAATGGACTGCTGTAGACACTTTACAAAAAGAAAACGTGAACAGAAAGTCAAGGATCCAAGTTTGAATCCATGTTTTAAAAAAGAGAACATATTGCTAAAGTGTTGTTTACAGAAAATATGGAAAGCAGAAAAGGAAAAGCAGGTTGCAAATTGGACCAAGAAAATTAGAAGCTCCTTAATCCCCCTAGATCACTCAAAACAGGTCAGACACATGACATTTATTATAGACTGGTGACAGAGAAGCAAGAGACAAAGCAGAGCAGTTCTGCTCCTCTAACGGAGGTCCCAGGTGGTGTCATGAAAATGTCCTGGCAAAGATACAATTAGGTGGAGCTTTTAGCAATTCTGGCAGCTGCCAAAGAAGAGACTCACCTTGTGACAGCTTTCCCCCTTGAACTTGCTGTCCTGTCTTTGGTTATTTAAATTAAATTCAATTTCATTTAAGAATTTACAGGTGTGTGTGTGTGTGTGTGTGTGTTTGTGCACTAGTGGCTCAGAGAACTGAGATCTGAGGTTCTGAATTTGGAGTTAGTTCAGGCAGGAAAGGCCCAGAGACTCTTTTCTCTAATTATCCAGCAAAAAGCTGAAATGAAGCAGAAGCCCAAGTGGTAGAGTACTAGCCTTGAGTGGAAAAGCTAAGGGAGAGTGTGAGTTCAAGCCTCAGTACTAGGACCCCCCCAAAACAATTATAGGAGGAAGGAAAATTAAAACATCAAAGCTCTTCAACTTTATCAAATGCCTATTCTGTTTAAGATTATGCAAAACTGCTTATAAAATTACATCTAATCTCCATAGCCATGACATGAGGCTGGCATGTCAATAGATCAAGGAACTGAATGTGGGCAGCGACTGCACTTGCCTGGTGACCAAACATGACTGTGGGGACCCACAGGTAAAACCAGGTTTGTCACACTCCACGCGGTCATATTTAATTGTTTTGACTTTATGGAAAGTGTGATACCTTGCAAGACTCTCTTACAATGTCAGGAAGTGACAGAAAACAGTTCCTGGGCAGCAGCGTGACTGTGAAGGGAACTGAGCGATGTTCTATGGTATACTCTGCTGTGTGGCGAAGGCACAATGTTAGGTCTAGAAAATGCATTTTTCATGGGATTTTCAACCCATGCTGGGCTTATTAGGATGGAAACTTATCATCTGCAGAAGAGCATCTGTAGATGGAATCGTATAATATGTGGTCCTGTTTTCCCCACTTAGTATAATATTTTCAAAGTGGAGCCTCTCGGTAACAATGTATCAGCATTTCTTTCTTTTTTATGGCTAGACATTATTCCTTTGTGTATCTAAATCATGTTAAAAGATCCATTCATTAGATGAAGGACATTAGGCTCTTCCTCCTCACATTTTGGTCATTATGAATAATGAACAATTCTTTTTTAATAACTTTTAAGTAGTTGTACCGAGAGGTTACAACTCAAAATGAATGTTCTTTGACAAATTTTTCTGTAATCACTTTTTTTTTTTTTTTTTTTAAATTTGAGACAGGGTCTCAAATGTGGCCCAGGGTTTAGTCTCCAATTCCTGTCTCAAATTTCTGAGTGCTGAGATTACAGGCATGTACCACCATGCCCCACTTGTGAACATGCTTTGAATCTAAATAAATAAATAAATGCACATTTTTTTTTTTTTTTTTGCGTGTGTGTGCCAGTCCTGGGGCTTGAACTCACAGCCTTGGCTTATTTTGCTCAAGGCTGGTGCTCTATTTTTTATTTTTGGGTTCGATTGTGGGGCCTGAACTCTGGGCCTGGGCGCTGTCCTTCAGCTCTTCAGCTCAAGGCTAGCGCTCTACCACTCAAGCCACAGCGCCACTTCCGGCTTTTTTCTTTTTTCTTATGTGGTGCTGAGGAATCGAACCCAGGGCCTCAGGCATGCAAGGCAAGCGCTCTACCACTGAGCCACCTTCCCAGCCCTAGGCTGGTGCTCTATCACTTGAACCACACCTCCACTTCTGTTTTTTTTTTTCTGATTAAATAGAGATAAAAGGCTCTTGGATTTTTCTACTTGGGCTGGCTGTAAGCCAGGATCCTCAGATCTCAGTCTTCTGAGATTATAGGTGTGCGGGCCTGATATTTCCCAGTTTGTCACAGAGAGTGTCTACAGTGCTTTGTGGTATGAGTCGTGCCCTACCTCATACAGACTTGTGACTCTCTTTGAATGATGTTACTGGTTGTGGATGTAGGTGAGGAGTTGAGCACTTGCTTAGAGTATGTGAGAGAAACAAAGCAGACCTTATGAATGGGTGGCTCACCATCACAACCTACTATCACATAGAACTTTATATCTTCTGCAGAACAACTCTCAACTACTACAAACAAGCTTATGGCCTCCTGTGGTTCTTCTCCAGGAAAGATATGCTCTGTTTCTTCATCTGGGCCTCAAAAGCTCTGCTCCTATGTTTTCCCCAGCCCTGCTCACGGTGTAGGCACAGAGCATTGTGGGACACACTCCTATTCTTTTGCCTTTAGATAGCTATGTAGGCAACTCACCAGAGGCAAAGATGAAGGGCGGTCTTCCCGGAAGCTGTTTTCAGGAGAAGATGGATTGGGACTGTTACCAACACTCGAATTCTGAAATTATTGAAACAATGTGAAAAACTAGACCAACCACAAAACCATACAAAATACAGGACCGGAGGCTCAGGACGCCACACTCACGTCTAAGTGTCCACACACAGATCTGAGCAGTTTGTATGTGGAATCTCTGGAGAGTAAGGAGACGAATATGTACTGAAAAAAAAACAAAAAATCAGGATTAACAAAGAACCTCTTGAGGAGATGAAAAAGTTCAGAGTTCAAAATAATATCTGTAATCCAGGCCCAGGTGGCTTATACCTGTAATCCTAGCTAAGATCTGAGGGTTCTTGCCCAGGCAAGAAAGTCTGTGAGACTCTTACCTTCAATTTAGGACCAAAAATCCGAAGGGCAGCTGTGGCCCAAGTGGTAGAACTCTAGCCTTGAGCAAAAAAACTGAGGGACAGCGCGTGCGCGTGTGCGCTCATGCCCATGCACAGGCAAGAGCACGCGTGCGCGCGCGC